CCTAAATCCCTATCAAATTGGAGTATCTGCAGCAGTTCTCCAGCTCAGCCTGAGAGTCCATCACGGCCTCCTTCTCCTTTGGATCTGTTGTTTGTCCTTTGGCTTTGGCTAAGAAAATCAACACCTCTTGACCCTTGTCATGGAATCATGGAATCAAGGAATGATTTGGGTGAGAAGTGACCTTGAAGCCCACCCAGGGCCACCCCCTGCTATGGGCAGGGGCACCTTCCGCTGGAGCGTGTTGTGTGGGAACAGGCGCTGTGGGAAGAGCCTCCCGTCCTCCAGGACCCACCAAGGGAGCCCCCAGAACCGGCTGCCCCAGGAGAGCACCGATGGGAGGACCAAGGGCTCTTTGCCCATCACCAGGAGCAGGAATGGGGAGTGTGGGGGGGCTGAGTCCCATCCTACCCCTGGGGACTGAGCCCCCGTTTGTGTCCCCAGAGCCCTCCTGATGACCCTGCCCAGCACCCTAATGCCAACAGCCACCGTTTCTGCTGCCCCCTCAGCTGGGACCACCTGGGACAGCACTGGCACCAGACCACACACCAGCACCAGAGCCCCTCACCGTGCACTAAACCTGCTCCAGCACCCCCACCCTTGTCTGCTGCAATGGCTGTGGTGGCATCACCAGTGCCACCATCACTGCTGCAGCTTCTGCTCAGTGACCCCCTGTGATGGGGCTCTGGTTGGTGCTCGTGGTGCTGGGGTGGAGGAGGTCACGCCCTGGTCATGACCATGGTCCTTTTCCTTTTGGTTCCAGCCAGGGACACTGGTCAGAGGCAGAAGCAGGAGCTGGCAATTGGCACCAGAGTCACTGTGGGGTGGGGGGTTCCTTGTCCTGTTCTGTGTCACCCCCCATCCTGTGGCACAACGAGTCGGAGCTCAGTGGGGGTCTGGACAAGGCCAGCTGTGACCCTCATACCAGGGATGCTGGGGGATGTTGGGGGCTTCAGGGACCAGGGAGCAGAGGGACTGGGGTGCCGGGGGGAATGGACCTCTCCCTGCCCATGTGTGGGGCTGCTCACTGCTGATGACGGGAAGGGGAAGTGGCAGCTCAGAGTCAACCCACCCCAGAGGGAACCCACCAGCCGTGTCACCCCGTGGTACACCTTGTCACACTGCGTCTCACCGTGGCACACCATGTCAAACCCTGCCAGCAGAACCAAGGCCCCTCAGGTGGAGGCACGTGGTTGGTGAGGGGGTGGTGTGGACCCCATGCTGGGTCTGTGCAAGGTGAGGTGGGGGGAGATCAATCCCATGGGCATCACCCCCATGCTGGAGGTGCTGTGGCTGCTCCTGCCCCACTCACTCACTCGACCCTGACGTCCTGGTTTAAGAAGTGATAGTATTTGCTGTGGAATGTACCACAGGAACGACCTTTAGCTGAACTAAGTGATTTAAAGGGACTAACCCAGTTACTCTATAACCAGGCAAGCAAAGTAAAGAAACAACGAGAAGGGAACTTAGGTAGACAGCTAAGCAACTGTTAGGATCCGATTATTAAAAGATGCTTCTGCCTGAATTAACGTGAAAATGAGGCCATATGCCAAAGTCAATAGTATGGATTTTATTTAACCGTAAATATGAGGTAGAGAGAGGGAAGTAGAAATATACAGTCAAGTCTTGGATATTCACAGGGTGTGTCAGACGTTCCCAAAACTTGAGATGGCATAGGTGTAAGCAATTGTTTTTTTTCCCACAGCTTGCACAGTGGAATTTTGTCTGGTGTGCTAATTTCCAACCTTCATTTAGGTCTGGAATTAATGCTTTCTTTTCTCACAGTTTTCCACAGTGGGAATTTTTGTTCAAGTGGCTTACCCAGATCTGCCTTACCATGCCAGGTTCCTGTTGTTGCCATCTGCTCTTGTCACAAGTTCCTGTCCTGGTGGCTTATCTTCTGGGAATTTCCTTCTCTGACAGTGTTTTGAGAAAATCAACTGCATTCGTTAAGTCCTGGCAGCAACATCCAGTTACTGTATAACCAGGTGCATTGTCTTGAAGAGAATTGTGTAACTTAGAACTTTGGGGGCTCCAGACAAAGACGACCACCGATAAAGATGCTCAGAGACCTTATAAGGACATTCATATATGCTAATAAGCATTGGGAAATGTCATGAATATGTAACAGGAATGTGAGGAATGAAAAATTAATAATCATGTAATGCTGACATATCAGCTGTAGCTGGGATACCTCTGTGTGCTCTTTGACAAAATGATTCCCAGGGCACATGAACTGATTCCCAGGCCACCCGGTGTGCTGTGACCGTGCAGTGCATCACGGGTCCTAAAACTCACAAATTGAGTCTTAAAGGTTTCCTTTACGTGCTACTTTTAGACAACAACCTCCCTGTCCTCCTCCTCCTCGCCGGCCACTGCCGTGGCCTCGAGCCATTTGGTCAGGACGCGGTGGACAAGGGGTTACCTGGGAGAACCGGTCGGGATGTCTCTGGCCGGAGGTGCAGGGCCAGCTCAGTAGCCACCGGCTCCCGTGGCCACCGCCCGGCTCCCGCACACGGTGCTCCGGTACCCCGGTCGTCTGCGCCCCGCGGGCCCGGGGACGGCGTTTGCCACGCACCCGTGGCAGGAATGCGGCCGGGCGGCAGCTGGACGTGTCCGAATGACTCCCTGGCCAGCGGATGTCCCCGACACGTGGAGCTTCCGGGCGTGAGGAGCCCACGGCAAGTGGTGCCCCCCGACAGCCCTTGGCCACTGGGAGGTGGCGGCGGTTCCGGTCCCACCGGAGAGGTGCAGGCGGTGACCGCCGGGATCGCGGCGTGCGGAGGTGAGAGGCGAGTGGCCGGGAACGTGGCACGGCCACGGGCAGCGGCACAAGTGCCCCCCGGCTGTGCTCACCTGAGGCGGCTTCGGGGGTCCCGGGGATCCCGTGGGGACCCTGCAGGGACAAGGTGGGGGGAAGTCCCTTGCCAGCCCCGCCGTCCCCCGCTTCCCCCCAGCAGCTCCCGACGGCTGCTTCTCGTCTTTTCCGGCCGAGCCCAAGGATGCGGGGGGCGATCCTGGGGAGGTGGGGGACAGTCTCGGCTCTGGGACATTCTCACAGGGGAGGTTGGAACTGGGGGGTGGGTCCTGTCCTGGCTATTTGTCGCGGTGGTGGCTGGATCTGGCAGGGAGTTCTGCTCCTGGCCGTCCCCGCTGCCCTCCCCGGGGTCTCTCTCCCGCAGGTTGTGCCTCCTGTGCCGGAGCCCCCGCGCAGGAGCCGGGGGACACCGCGCTCCTCGCCGACGCCCCGATACCGTGGCCACCCCCCGCCAGGCTGCCGGAGTCCCCCTTCCCAGCCCGGCGCTGGCCGTGCTGGCCGCGGTAGCCGGGGGGCTGCTGGCCCCCGGTTGGTGGTCGCTGGACCCGCCTCTGGCCCTGCGCCCCACCACGGCGCAGCGGGTGCGGTGGCGGCGTGAGCAGGGCGCGAGGTGCCGCGGGGTGCACAGGTGAGGGGGGACACCTGAGGGGAGGGTGGAGGGTGGTGACGCCCTGAGGTCACACGTGTGTCACTTCTCCCCCAGGTGCTGCTGGGGTCGGCGTGAGGGCAGCGTGTCTTGGGGAACATCTGCTGCATCCACCTTCAGGCTCCTGCACTGACAGCATGGGGGGGACCCGGTGTGTGTCCTTGTGTCCCTGTCTCCCTGTGTCCATGTCCGTGTGTCCCTTGTCCCAGCTGACACCAACACCTGTGACATGCAGCTGCCCCTGGTGCTCTGCTGGCTCCGGGGGTCCCGGCAGCGCTGGGCTGGGTGGTGACACCGTGTTTGTGTCTGTGTGTCCCCATTTCTGTGTGTCCCCGTGTCCGTGTGTCCCCATTTCCATGTATCCATGTCCGTGTGTCCCCATTTCCATGTGTCCATGTCCGTGTGTCCCTGTTCCAGGCCATGCCACCATCCGTGATGTGCAGCTGACCCTGCTGCTCCGGTGGCTCCGGGACTTCCGGCAGGAGCAGGAGCAGGAGGGGACCTGGTGGCCTTCGATGTCCCCTGTGGGGACCTCACCTGTGACAACTGCTCCTGGGTGGGGGCAAAGGGGACACAGGGAGAGGGGGACACAAAGGTGGACATAGGGGATACCGGAGGACATGGAGGGATGTGGGGGACATGGGGGAACAGGGATGGGAGGAAAACACGGGAAGACACAGGGAACATGGTGGGACACAGGAGAATGAAGAGGAGACATGGGAGGACGCAGGGAGAGACATGGGTAGGGGAAATGGGGATAAAGGGGTACACTGGGGTCATGGGGGAAGACACAGGGTGGAAGCAGGGGTACAGGGGAACTTGGGGGGCACAGCGGGACATGAAGGAGCATGAAGGGAAACAAGAAGGGACATGGGGAGACATGGAGGATACAGGGGGGATGCAAGGGGAATGGGGAGGCTCCTAGGGGGTGTTATGATCCACCCCAGAAAGGGCAGAGTTACCCAGATTCTTATTAATAAATCCTTTGGGGTGGATTAGAGTGAAACAACACTGAATAATGAGTGTTTGAAAATATATATATATATATGTAGGGTTTATTTTAGAACAATTTTGTTTCAAAGGTAAACAGGTATGTTGCCATTTTGGGTGTTATCATCTATCTCATCTATAGCAATATGGTATGAAGATAACCTTTAGGGAAAATGCATAAGGGAGAGAAAGGAAAGACAGGATAAGGGTAAGGGAAAATAAGGGAAAGAAAAGCTGAGAGTGGAAAGATGTATATAGTCACCACCCACGGGGTGCAGCGATGACACTTGGTGGTTGCAGCTTCCATGTCTGTCAGTTGAAGTGGTGGCCTTGATCCATTGGGGGTGGGGGAGGGAAGCCCACACACTCCAAGAAATTATGAGTTATTATATCCATGGACAGTGTCCCGGGCCATGCCTCGAGCCTCCATCTCTGCTGGGCCTGCAGAGTTCCTGTGAAGGGCCTGGTAAACACGGCTCTTCTCGCCTTTTCAGGACTTGACACCTTCAGCAGCATTGGCGGGGGGATGGGTCCAGCTGCCTCCTCCCAGCCTGCAAAAGTCCCCTGGCAATCCTAAAATGCGTAAATCATTAACCATTTCCGTCTCTGACAGAGGGTCTGGGGGCAACAGCAGAGCCGTGTCCCCTGGGCAGGTGACACACTGAACCAGCAGCACCAGCTCTTTGAGGAGTACCAGGGCCCCTGTCGCCAGGCACTTGGCCGTGACCAGCCCTGGGCCATAGGTGAGACCTCCAGGGACTCCACTGTCACCCCACAGGGATGCCCTCGGGATGTCACTGAGGTCCTGCTCATGTCCCTGTCCCCTCTCTGTGTCCCCTTGCCAGGGACACTGCTCAGCTACCTCAACATCTACAAGGAGCCCATGTCCACCCCCAAGAACACAAAGAGGTGATAGAGTGGGGACATGGGGATGGGGGAGATGAGGGACACAGAGTGGGGACAGTGGAGACATGGGTCAGGGTTCCCACAGGAGCTGAGTGGGGAGTGGGATGCTTCAGCCGAGCCACCAGCCTGGAAAGGGGAATGATGCTGTGATCGCAATGTCCCCATGTCCCCATGTCATTGTGTCTCTGTGCCATCATGTCCCCATTCCACCTTGTCCACCTGCCACCACATCCCAGTGTCACCGAGTCCTCATCCCACTGTGTCCCCACACCACTCATCCCCATGCCATCACATCCCTGTATCACCACGTTTTCATGTCACCATGTCCCTGTGCCACATGTTCCCTGCCTGCAGGATGCTTTCCCAGCTGTGGGGGTGGCTGCAGTACCCGGAGAGGTCCATCCCGTGCAATGGGGACCCCGATCCTGCGGCCCCACAGCCCTGGCAGGGCCAGTACTTGGACTATGTGCTGCACCGCAGGCACCCGCCGCTGCCCACCGTGAATGTCCCCATGTCCCCGTGTCCCAGTGTCCCCTGCCCTGATGCCGCTGTCCCTGCAGGAGGTGGCTGGAGTCTCCATTATCACCCAGCTGGCCATGTGCTCCAGGTGGGACCTGCCACCCCCCGGGCCCTTGACGCCAGTACAGGGGAGGTTCAGACCTTCCACCCTCACAGACCTCACAGCAGCACAGGGGGGTCTCAGACCTCCTGGTACATGAGGAGGGGCTGGCACCTCACAGGGACAGCTCCAAGCCCCCAGTTGTGTGTCTCTGCACAGCTGTGTGCTGGTGACCATGGGGCTGATGGGTGCAGTGATCTGGCATCACTCTGGCATCGATCCAGCATCGATTCAGCGTTGATCCAGCATTGATTCAGCATATATCCAGCATCACAGAATCACAGAATGATTTAGGTTGGAAAAGACCTCCAAGACCATCGAGTCCACCCTGTGCCCGATCCCCATCTTGTCACCCAGACTGCAGCACTGAGTGCCACATCCAGTCATTTCTTGAACACCTCCAGGGATGGGGACTCCACCACCTCCCTAGACAGCCCCTTCCAATGTCTGACCACCCTTTCCATGAATAAATTCTTCCTGATGTCCAGCCTGACCCTCCCCTGGCACACTTGAGGCTGTTTTCTCTTGTTCTATCCCTTGTTCCCTGGGAGCAGAGCCCAACCCCTCCCTCCTCCTCCTGTCAGGGAGTTGGAGAGAATGAGAGAGTCTCTCTGACCCTTCTTTTCTCCAGGCTGAGACCCCCAGCTCCCTCAGCTGCTCCTGGTGCTCCAGACACTTCCCCATCTCTGTTCCCTTCCCTGGACACGCTCTAGCCCCTCAGTGTCCTGTACTGGGGACCCCATACCTGCCCCCAGGACTGGAGGTGCTTCAGCAGTGCCAGCACAGGGGACAGGCTCTGCCCTGGGCCTGTGGCCACACTGTGCCTGCTACAAGCCAGGAGCCACTGGCTTCTTACCCACCTGGGCACACCCGGGCTCATGTTGTCACCAGCACCCCCAGGAACTTTTCCAGCTTTCCAACCACTCTACCCTAAGCCTGGGGCATTCCATGGGGTTGTTGTGATCCAAGGGCAGGACCCGGCACTGGTCTCTGGGCAATCTGTGCCAGTGCCTCACTCTCCTCACAGGGAAGAATTTCTTTCCAATATCCCATTTAATCCTGCCCTCTGTCCATGAGAAGCCATTCCCCCTTGTCCTAGCACTCCAGGCCCTTGGCAAAAGTCACTGGAGCAGGATGAGGTGGGTTAAAGGAAGAAGGAAACTCATGGGTTGAGCTAAAACCACTTTAATAATTGGAAAGAAAAGTGAAAATATTGAAAGGGAGAAAAAAATCCCCAAAGAGAAGCCAATCCCCCCTGTGCCCCCACTCAGGTGCACCCCAACACCCCAGCCATGGCTCAGGGAGGGCGTCCCCTGGGCTTGTCCAGTGTCCCCCTGCCATCCTGGTGACACTGGTGGCTCCGTTCCTGAGCCCTCGTCTTGGCCGGGCACGGTGGCAGAGGTGACAGCGGTGTCCTCGTGGCTCAGGGGGTGCCGATGGCCACTGCCAGGGCCAGGATTGCCAGCAGGAGCCCCCTGAGATGTGGGGGGTCCCTGCGGATGCTGCTGCCTGGAGGGGGTTCAGGGGAAGAGGGTCAGGGGGAGCTGGGTTACCATTGACTCCCTACTTTCCACAAACTACAATAAAAAATAGAAATCCCTCATCTTGAGGTGTGGATTGGCTCTGCCACTGGGAAATGAGCCCATTGTCAGGACAACACCCTGACATCCCATCCCATCCAGTGCCATGCAGTGCCAGGAGAGCAGCTGGAGCTGTGTAATGCCCAAAGCCATAGCACCCCCATCCCCTGCCCCACCACCCTCACCCCTCTCCCAGCAGAGCTGGTGCCCTGGTGCCACCCTGGCCCTGTCCCCACACCCGACCTCAGGTGTCCCCACCCCAGGGATGTCACCTCGGAGCCACGCGCAGTTGTATTTGCTGTACACGCCGTGGGAGTGGAGCTGGATGTGGGTTTTGTCCCCTTGGTGGGTGACACTGGTGACATTAAAGGTCTCGAAGGGCGGGATGAGGACTTCCTCCTCGTTAGGGTAGTTGGAGAAGTTTCGGATGTTGGCGCCGTGGCAGGTGTGCACCTCGAAGAAGGTGTCGGTGCCGTAGTGCTCGCTGACGTTTCTCAGCAGGGAGCTGGAGGCGAACTGGCCAAAGCGGATGGTCTTGCCGGGCTCAGTGACGAACCGGATCCCTTCGATACCTCGGTACACGTCGAGGCAGCGGGGGTGGGTCTCCTCATCCCGCAGGTCATCCAGGGCCTCGGTCAGCAGGAAATGCACCACCTTGAAGGGGAAGTTCCGCAGGTATTCCTGGAGGGAGCGCCCCGCGCTGCGCACAGCCCTGTTGAACTCCAAGTATAGGCCCTCCTCCATCGAGTAGGCCATGAGGGCGATGGCCTGTTCCCGCCGCAGCCGGGACCCCACAAATTTGCGGCTGTGCCATTTGATGGTGGCCTTGCCCCAGGCGTCAGCGTAGTCGCTGTTGGTGGCAAACTCAGTGCGGTTGAGCGCCCTCAGCGCCTTCGCCATTTTGATGCGGCAGCGCGAGTACTGGTCATCGAAGGAGTTGGGGGCCATACTCAGTTCAATCTCCCTGAGGCCACTCTTAAGGTCTGGCCAGCGTGGGGGGACGCCTGTGGCCAGAGTCGTGGCCAGCAGCACCAGCACCAGGAGCTCCATGGTGGGCAGAGACTCTCCAGGGCCCCCCGGGCACTGTGAGGACGCAGGCGGGGCCGCGGTCGCTTCCTCTGGGAGGGACTGGGGAGGTGGGGAGGGGGAGCGGGGTCAGCCCGGGGAGAGGGGGACACCCCCGGCCGCACCCCCGGCCAGGAGCCCCCCGGCCACGTCCCAGCACTGCCCCGACCCCCACCCTGGTCCCACGGGCCGTGCTGGGACGTGG